GTGTGTGTGTGTGTGTGTGTGTGTGTGTGTTTGGGGTGGGGGGGGGCTTGGGGGCGCACGGGATGGGTGTGGGTGTGGGTGTGGTTGAAGCAGGGGTGGTTGCGCGATATGCTGCGTTCGCTGCTACAAGCAGGCTGCGATCCTCGCCAGTAGGGCCGCTGGCACGCATGACGACGCCGCACCCCGCACCCCACAGGCGCTCGACCAGGCCCATTGTCCACGCCGCGACGAGACGGCGCGACAGTTGTTGCGGTGCGGTCAAGAGGCGCGCTGCGCCGCGGAGTGTGCTGGCTCACCCGCGCCGAAGATTTTCTGGCTGTTCTTGTCGTTGAACTCAACGGTGGGGGGCAGCTTGTTGGCGGTCAGCAGCTCCTGGGGGGGGGGGGGGTGCAAATATTGGTGGGGCCGCGAAACGAGGAGGTTGAGGGATCGAGCCGCTTGCGGCGCCGCGTGACGTTCGAGCAGGGCAGCCAAGGTTGCGCCCAGCACAGCCTTTGCCACCACAGGTGAGCCCACGGACCCCTCAAACCCAGCCAACCCCACGCGGCGCGCCCACCTCGATCGCCTTGTCAGTGACCTTGCCCTTGAGGGGCGCCACCACGCGGTCCTCCCCGGCAAAGTTGGTCAGCACCACCACGCCGGCCGCGGAGAGGCCGGCCGCCTTGGCCACGTCAGCGTCGGTGGTCTCCAGGAAGGTGGCGTCCTCGCTCTTCTGGGCGACCTTGACGAAGGCGTCGTAGTCGGCACCCTGGGGGGGGGATGGATGATGCATGCAGCGTTTGCGTGTGTGTGTGTGTGTGTGTGTGTGTGTGTACACGTGTGCACTCACGTCACTGCTGATCTTGTCTTACACGACTGCCAGCGCCGCTCGGAATCGCGCACCTCGTACCTCTTGCTGCCCTCCAACCTTCCACTGTGCGCCGCACTGCTGCGTGCCCAACCATGGACCCACAGCAGCCGGCCTGGCAAGCCGGTGTGGCGGAGGCGGCCCCAATCCAAAGCAGACTTTGTCACATGCACGTGATTGTCCAAACTACCACGCCAGATCGCGTGCGAGGCCTGCCCTGGATTGTATCCCAGATCAGACCTCAGATCGCGCACCTTGAGCTCCTTGAAGTACGCCAGCACCACGACCTCGTGGGCCTTCTCAGCCGCAGCCAGGGCGTCCTTGTCGGCGATGTTCTCGGCGGCGGGCCCGGTCTTCTTCTTGACCCACCGCACGATGCCCTCGCTGCAGGTGGTTCAAGGGAGGGCGGTGCTTGAGCGAGGGCCGCCAGAACAAGGTGAGCGGCAAGGCGGAGGCTGGCTGGTCTCAATCCGTTCCAACCCAACTGCTGCTGACGTGCCGAACCCGCGGCCGCAGCATTAATAATGAACCATCTGTTGCCGCGAGCATTTGTTGGTTCAGAGCAAACTGGCGGCGCGACCGACTCGCCCTCGCGCACCCCCCCACATCCTGGCGTTGGCGATTAGCAGCGCACAGAACGGTGTGAGGCTCCACCCCATTAAAGCACGCGGCTCACGCGTCGCGGGGGCCGTTGTAGTCCAGGGCGACCTCTCCGTCCACAAACCACTTGATGGTGGGGTAGCCGCTGACGTCATGCTTCTGCGCCAGGTCAGCCTCCTTGGTGGCGTCGACCTGCGGGTTGACCGCACGCATGCGGCCGCGTCAGGAAGGGGTGCATGGGTGCCCGCGCGCGCGCCTGGCGGGCCGCATGGGCGCGCATGGCTCGCCCGTGGCACCATCTCACATGATTGACTGTTTGCGTGTGGATCCTGGAAAAGCGTATGATGGGCTGCGCAGATCGTGCCGGGCACGTGGCATTACGTCACCGCCTCGCGGGCGGGGCAGCGACGCGTGGCCCCAGTACACACCTTGGCTAGGACGATCGTGGGGTCGTACTGCTTGAGGGCCGTGGCCGCCTTGGCATACTCAGGTGTGAGTTTCTGGGGAGAGGGGGAGGGGCAGGGGAGGGGGGTCAAGGGGTCAAGCATGCGGCGGTTACGCAAGTGCGATCTGGTGCGTTCGGTTGAAGGCAGCCTGGGAGATCGAAATTAGCTCACCTGGCAGTGGCCGCACCACGGGGCATAGAACTCCACCTGCAGCGCCACAGTGAGCAGTGGCGGATGGTTGTTGCATACGGTGGTGGCGGAGCATACAGAGTGCAGGCAAGACAGTGGGCAGCGAGCAGCGCGTTCCGGCACATGCTATGATCGGGTTGGTTGGCGAAGCGACTGGTGAGCGGCATGCCCGGCAAGCCTCTCAAAGACTCAATGTAGCTCACCAAAGCAAACTTGGATTTCTTCACGGCCGTTTCCCAGTTGTCCTTGGTGATCACCACGACGTCCTTCTCCTCGCCGCCCTTGTCACCACCCGCCTCCTCCGCATCATCGTCTTCATATTCCTCCTCCTCGGCCCTTATCAAGGGAGCGCTCACGAGAAGCACCCCCACCAGCAGCGCGAACCACTGCTTCTGCGACAGCATGTCGATTTGTGTGTAGACGGAGCTGGGGCAGGGAGGTTCCTAGAATGAAACTACGGTTTGGAGAATAGGGTGGTGCAACCCGCACCAAGCAGATATCCGCGAAAGAGTTGGCTGCGTGGCGGTTCGGTGGATCGCAAACCGGTGCAAATGCCGCGGGGTGATGGACTGAGAACAGACATGAACAACTCATCAAAAAATTGTGCTCAGTTGAACGGTTGTCGAGGCAGCAGGCTCAGGGGCTGCGGATTGGCCATGACTGTTCGACACCGTGTCTCTCTTGAATTTCAGCACGAAGCAGCATGTGGCAGTGGGTGCAAGCACAAAATTTCATTTCTTGCTCGCCCATTGAGCTGCGTTGTCCGCTGGGTGGCAGCACGCAGGCGGTTGCCGTTGGTTACCTTCGGCTGGTGTGACGCACAGTGAACGACTGTGAAGCTCTTGCAGGGAGCCTCCAGTGCCGTGGTCGGTCCAGGTTGTTACGATCAGGGAACGCTATTTGTGGCTCTAGACAGATGCCACTGCTTCCCATAAGATTTCTTGCAGCAAGGTATTGGGTGCTCATGCAAGAGCAGAGCGGGTACCGAACATACGGTATGTTTGGCCTAGCGTCACGGCAGGCCCACGACGCACAGTGCGAAAATAAATGCACAAGACGATTCTTTCAGAGCCGTTCCTGTCAAGATTTCGAGGCACACCCTAATTCCGATTGGCGTGCGCCTTGGGTGCCCCAGACCGAGCTAGTACCCCAGTTTATGGCAATTCCACAACCTACGGCGCCTCGTGGCCAGCGCGGCTGCGCATTGTTCTTGTCAAGGGCACTCAGCTGACCTTGAATAATAGTGCCATCCAAGCATTATATAAAAGTATAGTTGAAGAGCGACTGGATAGGCCCACCCATTAGCGCCATCGGCTGCCGCATTCGAGCACGTATTGCTGCGCTGCCTTTGTGTCTGCCAGCTAAATGGGGCATCAGCATTGTGCCATACAGCGCCTTGCCTTTTGGAATTGGCCGGTGTGGACGACTGCGATATGCTCACGCAGGTGCATGGCGCGCGCTTGTGCAACAGTGCGTCCGTTCGCAGGACGACAGTACACTGCTACGGCGGTACCCCCATTGCACGCTCACCAAACCCTGGTGTGTTCCTATTCGCTACCCCACTGTGAACCAAGTTGAGCACCGGTTCTCTGATTTAGCCTTCCGCAACAACAGCGTGCGTCCAGCCTGGGCGGGACCACCTTCTGCAGCGCATGACAAACGGGTGCGACGGTGCAGGAGACAACCCCAGGTGGGACAGGCTTCCGGTATACCAGTACGAGCTCGAGCCACCCTTTATTTCAATTGCAAGTCCTTCAATATTTTGGCAGCAAACACAAAGCAGATCATCCGGTCCACGATTCGAAGGCCGCGGCCTAGCATAACCCTTCTAGGGCCGTAGACTCACAGCTAGCAAAGATGAATGAGAAAGAGGTGCGTGCCGACTTCTTGATCAGGCCTGCGCAGGTTGCAGCAGTGACTTGAAGAAGAGCCCTTGCGAGCGGATCGCGCTGCATCCTTTCCGCGTGCAGGTCGAGCGGCAAATCGAGCAGATGGTGAGGTTTATCAAGCAGGAGGCGGAAGAGAAGGCGAACGAGATCAAGGTCTCGGCGGAGGAGGTGCGGCCCGTGTTGTGGGGCGAGGGGTGGCGCCATGGCAGTGGGGGCGTACAGCGTCATGCGGGGGCAAATGGTCTGCATGCTGCTTGCTGCATTAATCCTATGGTATATAGTGTGCATGCACGCACGCAGGTCTCCAAAGCAGAACATATGTGCACGTCAGCCCTGCTCGTGCTGCCAGCACCCCGGCCGTCCGCCCTGTCACGCAACACCCGCCGCCCCCCAAACCCTCGCCGCAACTGCCCCCTGCCCGACCTCTTCAGGAGTTCAACCTAGAGAAGCTGACGCTCCTTGAGCAGGAGAAGGCCAAAATCAGGAAGGACTATGAGCGGCGAGAGAGCCAGGTGGAGGTCAAGAAGAAGATGTGAGCGGCCGGCCACAGCCAGGGACCCCGCGGCGCCCTGCGCCGTGGCAGGGCGCCGCATGCGTACACGAGCGGGGAACCTGCATGCGGCAGCAGATGCTGCGGCTTTTCGCAGCGCAGGCGTGTGCTTGCACTCGCCGTGAGGGCAGCAGCCGGGCTGGGAGGCCCCTGGCGGCTTGGAGCGCGGCGACATGGCCGCGGCCGCAGGGGCGTCGTCGCTGCGCCCCATGCAAGCTGCCCACCGCGCCAG